ATCCATCCATCCATCCATCCATCCATCCATCCATCCATCCATCCATCCATCCATTCATATATACTCCCTCCCTCTATCCATACATCCATCCTCCATCCATCATCTATCCATCCATTATCTTTAGCTTCTTCCTTTATCGGGTCATGGGTGTCACTGGTGTCCATATCCAGCAGTCACTGTGCGATACGTGGGGGACACCCTGGACAGGTCTCCAATCCATCACAGGGACGCATAGAGACAAACGAGACAAACAACCATTCACTCTCTCACTCACACCTAGGGACAATTTAGAGTTACAGTACCATGCACAGAGAGAACATACAAACTTCACCCAGAAGGGCCCCTGGCCGTGATTTGATCTGGCCACCTTCTTGTTGAGAGGCAGCAACTCTACCAACTGCACCACCATGCCGCCCAGGGATGTTACTCTACAAAAAGTAAATTGCAAAAATAAAATACAAATGACCTTCGTGCATGTGTGGATTTTCTCTGGACACTCCAGGGTGTCCCCAACCTCTCGTGCAGTGACTTCTGGATATGGGCACCAGTGACCCCGTGACCCAGAAAGGAAGAAGTGGGTAAAGATGATGGATGGTTGATAACATCCCACTTGATGATGGATGTCTTTTTATGGATGTGGTTTGGTTCATTTTGAGTGAAGCCGATAAAACCACAGAGAAACATCCGTCCATCTTCTGGGAGGACTCCAAGGCGCTCCCAGAGACATAGTCTCTCCAGCGTGTCCTGGGTCTTCCATGAGGTCTCCTCCCAGTTGAACTCATCCAGAACACCTCCTAGGGAGGCATCCAGTGAGCATCCTTAACAGATGCATGAACCACCTCAGCTGGCTCCTTTTGATGTGGAGGAGCAGCGGTTCTACTCCGAGTCTCTCCCAGATAACTGAACTTCTCACCCCAACATGTCGACGTCATGTTGCAGACAGACAAGTTTATAATTAGGTCTGCAGGAAGACGTCAGAGAACTCCAGCTGCATGTTTCAGCTCACAGGACTCTGAGTATGTTGGACTCATTCTGTCACATCTCTGCCATTAAACTTCAGCCTGAATAAAACATCTGCAATCTTGTTTTATCTGTCACTATCCAGAGGGAAACATTATTTTAAAGAGGCTTCAACGAAGAAGCAATTGAAAAAACACCAAAAAGAGAAACTATAATTAAAAACTTGATCTTTCATTGGTTTTCTAAATCCTAAAGAATCAGATACAAATATCCATAAAGTGATGCAGCACTTTTAACCTTTTGTGGAAAAGAATCGCCCCTGATTGAAAAATTTTTTAAACCCTGCTGAAACTCCTAACTGCGCCATACGGTAATGAATCTACTCACAATAACAAAGATAGAGAGTCCCTCGTTGGCGGCAAAGTTCCCCATGACGAGACGAGTTTCTGTGGAGGAGGGAAGGTTGACGTGAAAGACAGAAGGAAGAGAATGGAGAGGGCTGCGGCCATGTCGCCTTTTGTACTCGCGCTTCACAGATAAAGAGGAAGTGCTCCTTCTGAGAGTGAAGGCTGATGGTTTAACATAAATGATTCAATGAATCCTAGAAATGAGAGGTCCAAAAGAGCAGCCGAGGCATTTAATTAGCACAAAGAAAAAAGTTTTACTAAATAAGTTGTATTGTATGTGAAGTCACCTCATGAAGGCTGTGACTGCTGAAATCTGCTGGAAGGTGAACGTGAGTTCCATCAATTTTCTTTTAAGCCCTTCTTTTCTCTGGGCCGTGGGGAGTTGGTTACTATACCAGCAGTCACAGTGCGAGAGGCGGGTGTACCCTGGACATCTCTTCAGTCCATCACAGAGACAAAGAGACACAACCATTCACTCACACTTACACCTATAGGGACAATTTATAGTTGTCAATGAACTTAACATGTGGGAGGAAACCGAAGTATCTGGGAAAACCCACACAAGCACAAAAAGAACATGCAACCACTGCACCACCATGCAAATCGTTTTACTATCGGTTTGTTAAAATATTTCAAAAAGAAGACGGAGTGAAAGGAGCAGGACAGATGAAAAGACACGAAAGATGGGAGAGAAGAAACAAGATTAAAATGGAAGCATGACGAGACAGAAACAAGTCAAAATATAAAAAAAGACTAAAAAAAGTTGCTTATCTATGTATTCACACTACATAACCCAAAAGAAATTAAATGTCATTTAGG